GTAGGCCTGGAAAAACTGAGGTAAGACAAAAATCTGTGAGCTGGAGGCTAAAAAACTGAGCTAGCTCACACTAACTCAGCTTAGAGGGAACTCTGAACAGGACTGGAGAAGAATCTCCTGTCCCTTTATCAGAGACTTAAGTGTGTAGAAATGGGCAGCTGTGAAATGGCCTTACTGGTGTCAAGGCTAAGACTGTAGGCAGCAGTCCGAAAGAGCTGGAAAGCAAAAGCTGAGCGCCAGGAACTATTGGGTAGTGAAGAACAAGCCAAGGGTTAACTACGTAGGAATCCCCTATCGTGTGTGACTTCACCTCACTATACAACTGTTCCTCTCAGTGTACATGGGGAGAAAAGCAGGAGGACATTATTCCATTGTTCTCTTCACGTGTGCAGTAGCCGCAGGTTCAAAAGGCAACCAACAATGGCATCTGTATAGAACCTTGTAACTGACTCAGTAGAGCTTTGTGACCTATCCGAGGGTCCTAATGCCTGAGTTAAAGTCTCATGGAGTAAACAGTACTGAGTTAGACCAACACTCTGTAAGACTGCTTCATGTGTATATGACTGCCCATTTGCTCTCTGGGAAATGCATTTCTCTGCATTTTCTTTACTGTTGTGCATTTAGGGCCAAACTAGATAATATGTTTGATGTGCATCATACGTGTCACCAGGGAACATAATGTTCCCAAGCACACTGGAACCCTGTTTGGCATGAGTGCAGTGCAGGGGGAGGAGGGGCTTCAGTCTTCCCTCATGTGCCAAAGCAATATTGCCTTTGGGGGGCTCTTTACCTAACCAGTACCCTAATCTAGGAACCAGCGGCTAGGAGCCAGCGGGGCTTCATGGCTGCCCTTCCCAGTCTCAGTCTCCTTCTGATTTCTCGGTTGCAGTCTCCCTTTTGGTTGATGATGAAGCCAAACAATAACTGTTTCAATTTCTTCATTGTCAACCTTAAAGTTCTGTTGAGGTTCAGATGTAATCCTGCTTCGGCACTTTCTGCTTTAGCCTTTATCAGGAGTCGTTTCAGGTCTTCACTGTTTTCTGCCAGTAATGTGGTGTCATCTGCATATCTCACATTGTTAATGTTCCTTCCACCAATTTTTACGCCACCCCTATAATATGTACTGCATAGAGACTGAAGAGACAGGGAGATGAAATACATCCTTGTCTGCCACCTTTGCCAGTTGGAAACCATTCTGTTTCTCCATATTCTCCAATAATCATATATTGTGACACACCCTTTTTTTTAAAAAACCATCCACAGTTTTTCACGATCCACAGTCAAAAGCTTTTGCTTTAATCTATGAAACACAAGCTGATTTTCTTTTGAGGTTCTCTTGTATGCTGCAGTAACCAACATAAATTTGCACTTTGGCCTTTAGCAGTCCTGAAGTTTGGGCTTGTCAGAAACATGGTGTAGTGGTTAAGTGTGTGGACTCTAATCTGGGAGAACCAGGTTTGGTTCCCCACTCCTTCACTTGCAGCTGCTGGATGACCTTGGGCAAGTCATAGTTCTGTCAGAGCTATTCTCTCAAGGACAACTCTCTCAGCCCCACCTACCTCACAGGGTGTCTGTTGTGGGGAGAGGAAAGGAAGGAGTTTGTAAGCTGATCTGAGACTCCAAGTGAAGGGTGGGGTATAAATCCAATCACTTCTTCCTTTTCTTCTTCTTCATGGGACTCCCTGGAAAAAAACCATAATGGTTGCTTTTAATTGGCTATTTAATTGCTGCTGTTGTACTATTTGGAGTAGAAAGTATAGTATTTCAGTAAAGCGATAAAGTGAGTCCACCATTATTTTATTTTGGGGAGTATAGAAATGCTGAGGCATATCCTACAGCTGCACTCAACTAATGGCAACTCTTTGTGGTGCAAGAAACCTTGCATTGACTCAAGAGGCTGTTCCCGTAATGTCAAAGTGTACTCTTATTTCTGCCTTGTCTTTGCTGTTG